GAGAAGCTAGATGAGGAGGAGTTTGCTAACTTTCTTCTTGATCTCGGAGATGGCAAAATTGCACACGTCTCCGGCCCTGGATGCGGTGAATATGCTATCTCACTCCCAGATTCGTTCATTCTGCCAGGCAATGATCTTTGCAACTTGGTTGACTGGGTCTATCCTCACCTCCACGAGAACCTACAGAACCCACACTGGCTATGCGAACGCTCAATTCTCTGTCCCACTAACGCTGAAGTAGACACAGTCAACCACTATGTCACAGAGAAATTTCCAGGAGATCGACATGACTACTTTAGCACGGACAGCCTTGCTGCAGATGATAATAGCTTCGAGATTCCAGTTGAATACCTCAACACGCTTTGCCCCTCAGGCATGCCACCTCATCGGATATCTCTGAAAATCGGTATGATTATCATGCTCCTGAGAAACTTCGATCAGATTCATGGCCACTGTAACGGCTCCCGGTATATAGTTAGGCAGCTGCTGCTTCATCTGGTCGTCGCTGAGTTAGTGTCTGGAGTCCATGCTGGTCGACAGCTGCTCATTCCGCGCATCTCCATTTCGCCGAGTGAGAAGATCTTTCCTTTCACCATGATACGCCGCCAGTTTCCAATCCGCCCTTGCTTTGCGATGACAGTCAACAAGTCACAAGGACAGTCCCTTCACCGTGTCGGCGTCTACACGGTCAAAGACTTCTTCAGTCACGGCCAGTTCTACGTCACTGCTAGCCGCGTGGGAAGTGCTCGGCAGCTAAAGATTCTAGCTGTAGACGCCAAGGACACAAGTAAACGTTCTGTCATGAACAATGTGGTCTACACAGAGGTTCTCACCACCTAGGCTAACGGGCAAGGACTAGTAATGACAAATGTTAATAATGACAATATTGTCATTATAAACCCTTGATTATAGCTGCGTTCACACGTATACACGGCTTAGCTGGTACCGTACTTAGTTGGTGCTAAGTCCTTTGTATCGAACAATATCACGCATCTGCTTGCTGCCAACCATTAAACTGCGCATGTGCGCATATGACGTCAATGTTTATAAACATGAAACATCGCTATTCGACACTTTAAGACAATATCATAACCCTAAAGACAACAACCTAATTCTACGGCAGATTCTTAAATCAGGGTCAACATGAAATGCCTAAGACAACTTTTTAACTCTAACAACTTCTTAATTTATTCAAGACAACTGCTGGATTCCAGAACAACTTAATGAATCTGACTCTACGTCTTAACTCTCAAGTCTCAAGTTGAGTTCTCGATCGTAAGACAGCTTGTCAACTCTAATTTAAGACAACTTCAGAACTTTGTGACAACTCCACAACCCCCTCCTAACTTTTAGACAGATAAACTCCAAGACACAGTGTTAACTCATATATAGGTTTTTAACTCTAAGACAGCTTCGTAACTGTAGTGTAACTCTGGGAAACAACTTACGACTATAATTTTAACATGAATAAAACTCTCAACACTAAGACAACATCTTAACTCTAATAGCAACTACTAATTTTAAGACAACTTCTTTACTCAAAGAAAACAATCTTAACTCTAAGACAGGTAATAAGCTCTAAGACAACGTCATAACTTAAAGACAACTTTGTTTCTCTAGACAGCAATCTAACTCTAAGACAACTAATTAACTCTGATACAACTTCTTTACCTGTAAGACCTTAAATTATAAGAATATTCCTTAAGGATAAGACAACCTCTTAACTATATGACGACATTTTAACTATAAGACAACACCTTAATTCTAAGACAACTTCTTAACTTTGATAGAAACTATTAATTTTAAGACAACTTCTTTACTCAAAGACAACAATTTTCACACTAAGACAAGTAATAAACTCTAAGACAACGTCATAACTTCAAGACAACTCTAGACAGCAATATTAACTCTAAGACAAATAATTAACAATTATGCAATTTCTTTAACTGTAAGATTTTTTAAGTATTATAATACGTTTCAACTATGAGACAACTTCTTAAATACATGACAACTTTTCAACCGTAAGACAACTTCTCATGCATAACGCAACTTCTTAAATCTAAGACCAATTTTAACTCTAATGCAGCTTTAGAACGACATTTTGACTCTACATTTTTGATAATTTTAGAATCTTATTAAAACTTCCCAACTCTAAAACAATATAATAGTTTCCGTACAACTATCGCCCGTGAGGCAGGCAGCGATGTGTTATCCCCGCTAGTATACACCGTATAACGAGTCAATCCCACAGAGTACACGGTCTACGGCTTTACACTCCTACCAATCCCAACCCCTTTCCGTTACATTAGGGTGGGGGAGTGCAGCTATGGAAACGTAAGATACATCATCCCACGATCGTGTCATACTCTCCCTCCTGGTCTCATTTATCCGTCACAAACCGTAATAGTATAAACAGTAATCGTACTCGTCTGTAAGTTCCGAGGATAGGTTATATATATAGCTATTACATTACGCCATATAATAACACCATACAACACAC